ACAACTATGCCGAATCCGTACGTCCGTTCTCTGTACCGTGTTGCCCCATCGGTGATGAATGAAACACAGAGGCGCGCGCTCGAGCCATCTCATGTCAAATTGTATTCCCGTGCGACGTCAAGAAGAAGCAGAAACCCGCCAGTGCCACGGACAACTCCCCTCCGCCCGCTGCAGAGGCTCGTCAACATTGCATCAAAGACGGGTGGTCTGCAGCGTATTGCTCGACTTTCTCCACGCAATCATAATTCAACACACGAAGGGGGAAGTTTGCTATCCAACGTCGTCCGTGCGCCCGAGGTTCTTCTCGCTTGAAGCACTCCAATTAGGGGGATGAAAGCGCTCTCCCCGATATTGGCGGCGCTGCCCTGCAGTCGCCCGGTGACTCGCAACTTCCATCCGTTCATTCTGTCCATCACCTCCCGATTCATGGCGGGCAAACGGGCGTTTGTAATACCGCAGGACACTAAGGACATTGGGGGCGGCTTGATGGCGTGACGGGTTCTTGCGAGCAACACTGTCTAGGGCTAGACCGGCCATACTCGTCCGTGCACCGCCGCGCTTCGGAGCCTAACATATCGTGCTTAGCGCATGATAAGCAAGCGCGTACGTGTTCACGACTGTCGCACCTCCGTACGCCATCGATCATACGGCGAAATAGGACGAAAAGCTTCAAAGTGCGCTCGAGCAAGCCATGACCCTGTCTGCTGACGATGGCCAGCCGCCGCGCTACCTCAGCGGCATGGGACATCATGCCGCATCTGACGCTGCGGCCAAAATGTAGCTTTTCAACAGTGGTATCAGCCCCGTTACCGGCCAATGATGCGTGGGATCAAGTAGAAGCACTCCAAGCGAGCATCCCAGTTTGCTCAGTCTCGCGTGTCCCACCGCCACAGCCGTCCCTTGACGCGCACCGCTTTCGAGGTGCTGTGTTATACCCGTGGAGGATTATCTCGCTACCTCGTTTCACCGCCGCTTGAAGCCGCTGATGTGCGACGCATCCGCACAAATCTGTAGTGAAGCAACTTTCATATGCATGTAATGAAACTGCTGGCCGGGACGCGCTGTCTGAGTGTCGGGACCTTCAACGACTTCGTTCGGTCTGGAAACCCGCACAACAAGCATCGATGATCGCAAAGCAGTGAGCGCACCGCCATTGGAGGGCAGACGAGCCGAGTGTAGCCTTTTGGGTAGGCAAGAGTATTTCCCGGCGCTTCGTAGACTCTATCACTCATTTCGGACGAGACAGATGCGCGACCGCTTCACGGGTTACACCTGACGGCAGTGATCAGGACAGTCGACGCCAATCAGTTCAATGCATCGAAGGGGGTGGGCGCCCATCTATGGTCCAGACAACATCTCGCGAATATATAGGCGACACCGACGTAAATCCCGAGATCATTCTCCGCCTTTCCTCACTGGACCTCTACCATGCCTGTGCACGCGAGCGCAACCATCCGCAGGCCTCCGACGCTCGCCAAAAGAGCACGCGGGCGGCCACCAAACGCCGGTGCAGCCCAGACGCGGATAATCATCGAGGATATCGGCATATACCAGGCTCTTAAGACCAGAAATGCACCTCAATCCGACATAACCGTCGCCGTGAACGGAACGGCCAGAAAACTGATCAAACTGTATGGCTGGGATGACCCGCTGCGCGCATGCACGATGAAGGACACCGGAGCAGGAGTAGACGCGGCTGTGGACGAGGGCGAGCAGAAGCTCAGGGATGTTACTCTGAAGAGAGTCCGAAACGTACGTTCTGTCAAAGGTGCAGCATGTAGCGGGAGACGCTTACACATCAGACAGGAAGTCAAAAAGATCTGGAGGAAGAACTTGGAGCGCAAAGAAAGCACAGGAATCCGACCCTCGGCAGACATCGCGGATCTGATCAAGATTTTTGCGACTAAGCCTCGTCGCAAACAGGACTACAAGGTCTGGGCGACGCTCAAGCCGCGACCCAGTCTTGAAGCGGCCGTGGATATTCGACATGCTGCTAGAGTACGGGACACCGCTCTGACAGCCGTCGCTCCCCCGCGTGTATCGACCTGGAATGCAGTTGCGTCGGAGCGTTTCAAGGAGGCGAGCCCGAAGGAAAAGAAGATGGCCCGCAAGATAGCCCGGCGTGCTCACAAGAAGGCATTACAGGCATGGGAAGCGGGTGCCTCAGCGTTGCCAACATCGCCCGAGGAAGCAGTCCAGTGCGTGCTTGATTGAGTCGTGCGAGCTGTACACCCACTAATACACCGTCCTCGTAGGTTCATGGAAGCGTCGCAGATGTTCCTGAGCGATCTTATGCACTTCTTCGCAAGCCGTACCTCGGGGATAGCGGTGATGTTTCTGAGCGGGCCTGCAGGTTCAAGCTTGATGTGAATTATTTCCCAATTTTCGATGTCCCAAACGCTCATCCACTTCCAGATCTGAGGGCGTGTGTGACGTTCCTGGGCAGCCGAAACTCTTGTACACGGACGTCAATCCAGGCGGGACCAAGTCCTTTCAGTACAGTCTAGCAAAGCAAGCAGGGATTTTGAATGGTACTCGTCAGTTTCTTGAGGAACCTTCCGTCATCCTGATGCATTCTTAGATATGCGGTGGGGATCCGTCTCTGAGATCTCGATTACTCGCGCCGACAATGAAGGTGCTGGTGCACTAGGCGATACCGCGATAGGGGTCGGACAGGAGGGCGATCAAGACTGCGAAGATGACGACGAGAGCAGGGAGGATGAGGATGAGGACGATCTATATGCAGACGACCAAAGCGAGCAGCATGAAGAAAGCGCGGCCGAGCTACGCGGGATAGAATTTTTATCGCTCCTATCGTCATCAAACGGCGAGCGCCGCCAATTTGGGACGCCCAACGCTTCAGTTGCTGATAGCAGTACGCCGGCTGCTCTCATGAAACTCCGACGTAGTCACTAACGAGCCGACATAGCCCCGATACCTGTGCCAGGAAAAGCGGTGCCAATGCTCCACAAGGTTGGATCCCGGGTCTGTCTAGGCGTAGCAGAGACTGCAGGCGAAGTGAGTTACTGCGCGGACGTCATGTTTGTGCACGCGCTCATTGCGTGGGGCATAGGGCGAATCTACTACCATTTTGCCGAGGGTCACAGAAGAAATAGCGGCGTTTGCCCCGTTTACTTACGACGTTCTACATCTCTACGAGGCTGATGTGGTCACTAACGCGGTGCGCAGCTAGTCAGACGCGCCGTTTCCTTCTGAACCCATACACAGGTCGAGTATGCGCCAGCGTTGCGGTGTTTGATAGCCCAGATCTCGCCCCATAAGCCGTGGTTGAAGGAATCGAATACGGTGAACTTTTTGAAGGCGTTGCCAATCAAATTAGCCGGTAAAGTCGATATGGGCCTAGCAAGCGAACTCAGTCTTGCATACTTAAGGCATGAGTCGAGCAAGGCGGTTCGTGCATTTCTATGCTAGACTCCCCTATGCTCATGCGATCTGCAGGATGAGCTAGCTTTGACCCTGAGGACCGTCGAGCACGCGCATGGTTCAGATCCAATGGAGAAGCCGGCATACATTGCTGACCTACGCTTGCGCGCCTTTGCGTCGCGATGGAATGCCAGGGCAGATAGCGACAACAGTAGAACCCCTGCCAAACTAGATGCGGATATCAACATCTCGTTACCCCACCAATGGGCCCTGCTGCAGCCGGCAGAACACCTCGACAGGCAAGGGTGTATATGTGTTGCCCCGGATATTGACATGGACTGGCAGGATTCTCTAGCTCCTGGTCTCGAAGGCGTGCGTCTGCTCGTGGTAACGGCACTGATATGGGCCTACAACATCAAGGATAAGGAAGAGTGCAAGCAGTGGACGCGCCTCGCATATGACATGTTGCAAGTCCTCCGCATTCTAGTTCAACAAGCGAGTTGTCGGAATTCCGAGTCCAGCACAGCAGCCGAGGATTATATTGATGGCGACGGTACCGGTGGACTCAAGAGGCGTAAGAGGTACGCTACGCGACTATTGCCGCTGTCCATTCCTAACAAGCATCGATAGGAAAAAAAGCTTGCGAGAGTTACAGGATTTGATTGGGTAGACGTATTTAGGACCTACGTTCGTCCATCTGTGACAGTAAAGCGGATTATTTTCTAATGCATAGTTGTACCGTGGTGGCCCCCATGCTTTGCCAACAGCGCTGATGCTCACTTGACCGTTGCTCTCAATCGCTGAGCACCTCCAAGTCCTTCAGAGAGAAATGCTCCCATGACTCCACCATTGTATTGCACGATCTTCGTCATACGTGCCGGCGACTTGGACTTCGTCGGACAACTGGTAACGAATGGGTGACGTATCTCATCTTCTGAACGGCGAACAGGATCGGTAGAATTCGTGCGGCGGCGGAACAGCACCCCGACGGAATTCTCCTAGGATTCTTCGCCCTGTTCGTGCAGTCATTGCTGGTACTGGGCATCGGTACACCAGCAGCATACCGATATGTAGTTACAAGGGTAAAAGTTATATAGCATTCATCAGGTACAATGTACGTTATCTCGATGGCGGCTCATACACACGAATAATCTACTGTATTGATTGCCATTGCCGCCCTCTCTCCTCTGACATTACCTCCTCCTCAACGTACCCGCACCGCAATTCCATCATTGAGCAACCTGGAAGAATAGCCAGTGAGTGGCCTATTTGTAGACATGCAACTGAGAACATACCTGTACGAAGCGAGCCTGCGCGATGGACCGCAGGCGTGGCGAGGCGAGGCTCGATCTGGGCGACCAAGCATTCAAACGTTCACTGCATGCCGCTGTTAGCGATTCCTTGAGAAGGTCCCAGAGGACAGGACATACCATACTTCCGGCAACGACACTGTATACTTCTTCATGGTGGCGACCAGTTCAGCTACATGACAGGTATCAGTCATCGCGATGCAAAGAGTTGACTAGTTCCGGCCCCGTACCAGACAAGAGGGCCAGGAGTCGAGCGGTATGTCTTCGTACATCAGACACCATTGCAGATGAGGCGGACGGATAGGAGGAGGACAGGGAGGCGCCGAGGGATGGTCATCGTGGCAAGAGGCAAAAACGACCATTCGCTTGCGCGCGGCATCGGGCCGCGCCTCGCGCCCTCAGGCCTCAGGCCTCAACATCCTCAACCACGACATCGAATTGTGTCTCTCATGAGCTACTTTACTTCGCATCCTTACTCCCGACACATTCCTCATCCGACGGGATGCACTTAGGAAACTGCGCGCTGTATTTGAATCGTCTGGAATCATACTTGAATCAATAGCGAACTCCGGGAATTGCCCTCGGATCCTTATCAAGACATTTGAGGACTTCACGCTGTGTGAAGGCTGAAGATGGTACATGTTCGCACTTCTGTGACTATCATTATAGGCTGAACGTTGACGCGCTGACGTGCCTATCTGGGATGATTGGGGGTACGCGCTTTCCATGAAACTCACCGCTTTGGTGATTTTACGAGAGAAATCACGGGAAACGCCGTGAGGCCGTGGAGCAGATGATGCGCGCGCGCACGTCTCATTCCCACCGCTTGCAGAAGATCAGTGAGCGTCACCAAGACGCACGCAAAACCCCTGCATATTTTTGGACCGGCGACACCGCTCATCGCGAGTTTTTTCAAGCTACCAGTCCACCCGCGCACGGAGCGGGACTCCATCGGAACCTCACGAGAAACCCAGCGAACGTTCACGAGTCCTCGCCGTGAGGCTCTACTCCGGTGAGCTGCACGGCAAGCGCGTCTGGCGGTGTAGATGCTAACGTGCCCTGAAAGAAGCGTTTCAAGTGTGGCTTTCATCAGCAATTAGAGACGCATCCCTACACGACGGCTACCTCTCACTGGAGCGTCACACAAGTCTGATCTGGTATCGGCCGGTCGCACCTAGCACTATTGCCCAGCGGGCCATCACGTACTTTTCCGCTCTCTTTCCGTGTGAGCGTTTGCGATGAATGGTCATGAGTTGAGTCTATAGTTTACACATGCGCTCAGACAATCAATCAGGCAACGCTTCTCACCGCCATCTATAGACGTCCGACAAGCTACCAACACACTCTATGCGATCCTCGTATAGATAGACTCGGCGCAACATTTCCACCTGCGAAGAACGAGACGCCATGGCCACCGAGAGTTTGCTCGACGCCCCTCCTGACTTCTATCAGGTCCTGCAGGGCCTCCCAATCAGGGCTTCGAGTCCAGGACCGCACGATGCTGAGGATGACCATAGTCCTCGCAGTGTACATCAGAGGACGTATATGGTGTGTATTACTCCTTCGACTACAACCACCTCTTGGTCTCACCATGCCTCACGGCCCTTGTAGGCCGCTGCGTTCATATGTGCATGCGTGGACGACGACTCCAGCAACTGGAGCAACTTCTACTCGTCCACGACAGCGGAACAGAGCTCAAAAGACTCCTCCGATGATTCTCCCGCACCACACATACACATGCAGGATGACGATCTTGGCGACGAACTCCTTCAAGGCGCTGTGCGTGCCGCTCTGCACGGACTGCATGATCTTTGTTCCCGCCCTTCTGACCAATTATCTACTGGCACCGACGATTGGCGTTGCCCTGTCAAAGGCTGTAGCGAAGTCGTTCGCCCGTTCGACCTTACTCGGCAGCAGTGCGACGTCGTTGCCATGTTATCGGGGGATCTCAATTCTATGCTAGCCCAAGACGTCGACAATAGGGTCGCTCTTCACCACCAGGACCCATACAAGTTTCTACGCTACGTCGACGCCATCGCTTGGGAGCATCTCTCGTGGCATCTTCACCGCGCCCACATCACGTTCTACTACCCTCATCCTCATAGGTCTTACAAGGCATGCTCAGCCCTAAATGTACCCACGCGCTGCTCATTGTACGTCTAGGAACAGCCCGGTTGGTGGTGGAACGAGGCTCTTTTGGCTCGCGACCGGGCCCTCCAGCAAGAAGTGAAAGAGCTTGAATCCACCAGTCGCCAAAATAGGCGTCAATGGATGATGACGAAAGCAATTGCGTGTGCTCAGCGCAAAGCTCGTCGCGCGCGCGCTCGACTCACTCGATGGCGTTACGAAGCTTTGCAGAAGCGCCGAGACCTGATCTCAGACATGTTCGGTCTTAATCACGGCGTAGTCGAAGTGGCTCGCTCGTTACTTACCCTTGTGCGCCAGCAAAATTCTGATCCTCAAACGCAGAAATACGCCGCAGAGATTGCTCATTATAGTGATGTAGAGAGGGAATGGACAGAGGGCCCGTTGCCGATGTAGCTAGAGTACGGGACTCAATGACAGTGTTGCGGCCCTAGTCGTGGCTTTCTTCTACCGGATGTTTTGCTCTTTTGGGAGAAAGGCCAAGTGTGTGCTCCGAGAGAGATGTAACGTACTCGGGCTGGGCTGTATTTGATTATGGTATCCGTGTAGCGAGAGAGAATGCTAGTCTGCGGCACAGCCCGAATTGTGCGCTCGCAGCTTGTGCGAACCGTCCAGGTAAGTCGGACCCCGTGATGGTGGCGATATACTGCGGTGAGTGTGGGTGGGTGCCGAAAGGCAGTATGGGGGAGTGCAACGACGCGCAGGTAAATCTATGCTTGCCGCGCTCGACGTAGCACTGACGACCTCAGGACAGCGCTTGCTCGCGCCTTTCGGCTATCGCCATAAAGAACCGACGCGGTAGTCGGGATTCAACATCTACGGTCGCTCTGTGCGAAGGATGCCGCTAGGCGGCTGAAAGTGAGTCACTTGTTGAGTTGAACACATACGTCTACTGACTGCAGCAGACCTCAAGCGGCACGAGGGCGTATGGCGGGCGATGGGCGGGGAGCGGTAAGCTCTCGCTATCGACGCGGCCTTCAAGTTTAAGCAGGGTATCGCGTCTGGCGAAATGACGTTGGCAGCTTTCCAGGCGTGAAAGAAGGAGAAGGGTGACCTAGAAGCACCAGGCCGCTCTCGAAGACGCTCACGGTGGAGAAGAGATTCCCCGTAAGTACGTACGGGTTTGAACAGTGAAGACGGATGCTCATATGCCTCGCTAGGCATTCTTGTGCTAGGAATAGTCTCGAGAGAGAAGGTGAGGGTGCAGATAGGAACGACGGCTACGAGAGCGATGTTCCATCCCTCATGTCCGAGTCGTGGTCGGATGAGGAGTAGCTAGCGCGCATGCGGGCGTTGGAACGGTTCGAGTTGTAGCGAAGTAGATATTATTACAGTCGGGGTCGCTGATACGGCCGTGCGTCGTGAGAGTATGGTTTCGGGTGAGATGTAAGATGGAGGGCACTAGGGGTAGTATAGTGCGAGACAGCGCCAAATGCGATGGACCTTGCCGCTTCAGTGCTTGAGCGCCTAAACCTCTCGAACATTCGACCTTCGCCCTTCACTGTACGGTTTATGCGACCGGTGTAATGCGCTCACGATACGCCGGTTGTCATGCGGTTTGTCCTCACAGGTTGCTTGAAGATGAACTACGGATTGTCCAGTTGATGAGAATACATGAAAGTACATCTCCTCTTCTAGCTTCCAGCGATTACCAGTGCTACCCAAGCACTACAGCATGCGCGGGTCGTGTTTGACGGCAGATTTCCAGAAGGCGCAATCAGCAAGCCACTCCGGATCCCTCTCAGCGATAACATCTGCATACACTTCTGGCTCTCGGCCGGGGCCAGGAGAAACGAATGCGCCGGGTTCGATGAGTGTGCCGCCGTGGTCCTTGTATTGCTCGTATGTCACGGCGTTTGTACTGTGGGGAGCCGATGAGCGTTGTCTGCCTTACGAATAGAGCACTGACGTACGTAATAGAACCATCAAATATCCAGTCTCCGATCGTGATTCTCGCGGTTTTCTTCGCTGGCTGTCTAGCCGGTGTTGGTGCCGTTGGCTTTGTAGCAGGACTACGCTTGACTGTCGAACGGAGGGAGCGCCCGGACTGTGCTTCGCCGGCAGAGAGCTGCTTGCCGCCGCCTTGACTGTCGTCCGTGCGAGCGCGCTTACGTGGCGGATCTGCCGGTACGATCGGTGTCGCTGCTGCACCTGCACTGGATGCGACTAGAGGGTCAGCGAACTCCACGTGCTTTCTACCACGCTTCCTGAGCTGGGAGACCTCAGGCGGGGGAGACGTCGAGTCCTCAGGCTCGATAGATGAAGACGAGATCGATGGAGGGGGCGCAGAACCCTTAGCAGACTGCCCCGAGTCCCCTGCAGATGGTGCTGTTGTGGGCTGCCGAGATGATTGGCGCTGAACGTCTGCCTCGGTGGCATTCATAGAGTCCGCAGATTGCCCCGACGCCGTAGTCTCGTCGCCCTGTAGAGAGAGGCTCTACGAAAGGCTCGCATTATCAGCGAGCGGCTGCCGTAAGAAGTGAATAACGGTACGCACCGACAGTGCTGCGTTTGTCTCCTTCCGTGTGTCAATGAATGTCTCAGACACATCGGCCTGCGTACTAGTATCAATGTTCGGCGCAACCGGCGATGAATCGCGCGAGCTGTGATCGCCCGGCGCGAATGCGAAGATGAATGGGTCTTCCGACCCCATGCTACTGTGCTCCATGAGCTTCGCCGCGAGTGCGTATAGCTCGATCGGGCTTTCTAGTGCAGCCCGGTCAAAACATAAGTAACTGTAGCGCTCCGTATCGTAATAGCTGGACGGGTTGCGAGCAAGGTCCTCCCATGGGAGCTGTGCGGGATGATGCGGCGAGCGCGAGTACTCTATGACGGAGTATTAACTTAGTCGAAGCGATAGCGAGCGGATACGACGCACCCCACAAGACCTTCATGTACTGAACGACAACCTCTTCGAGCATATCAGGCGGCGTTTTCTTCAGGTTGACATAAGGAAATACGGGGAGGCCAGACATGTTATAAGGGATGATGACATCCTGAGATACAGACTCTCGGGGGGGCAGAGGGCCTAGTGTCATCATGAGTGTGCGCCATCATCATGTTAAAAGAAGGCACACGAGGTAGGGTTCTTTCGGCATAAGAAGTCCATGCTTTCTCAAAAGCCGACCACGCCGCTTTCTCCTCTGTAAGGTCACCAAACGGTGGGCAGTCGTTCGTGGCCCGTCCGTTGCATCTATCATTAAGGGTCAGTCGTTAGAAAGTTGAGAAGAGTGGGAGCTAACACTGCTACTTTGGCGACTCCCTGAGCATCGCGATAAGCCAGAATTGTTGTCGCGGCCATACCACCGAGTTTAGAACTCTGGCATAGCTTATTCAGTGCCCGCTCGAAGTTATTCACGAATAATTGGCGCGTCCTGCGGATGGCATGAGTGCTGCGAGCCGCAGACCATCAATCACCGACGCACTGCATGACGTTTGTATTGGAGGCTATCGCAGCTTGTTCATACTCGCTCTGCTCTTCCTCGTCCAAGTCATCCCACATCTCCTCCAGACACGTTTCATACGCATCAACGCCTGCCTCGTCTATTTGTTCCAATATTTCTTCTTTCTTAACGCATTCGAAAAGCCGGAATGCCGTCGGGCGCGGGAGCAAAAGATCAACGAGCGTTTGGGCGGGCGGAGGTGGCTTCGTGCGCTTCGTGCCAGGAGAGCGCCCATCACGCATCCGGTAGTAGAAATTGCGGAATTTCCTGTCAACCGCCTAGAAGAAGTCCTGTTACATCTTTCAAAGTACAAGGGGAACGGGGGGATGGAGAGGCGTACCTGCTTATAGGGCGTCGCGTTCGCGGTGACAGCCTCCGTCTGGAAGGACGCGTCCTCGGCGAAGGCCTGTTCTTTCCTCTGGGAAGCCCATTTGCTCACGGCACCAAATCCTGAGAAGGACGCATCTGACTCTAGAATGTACGGGGAGAACTCGTTCTTCAAAATAGAGTTGATGGCAGAGTTTTGCCTCGCGCTCAAGATGGACGGCTTCGTACGCGGGTTGGGGCCAGCCATGGGGAAACGAGAATATAGTGGGAGTTGATCGCGAGATCATATAAAGGAAGCCGAACACGACACACGTGGTCGTGTGTAGCTTCGGCTTGATAGAGCGCCCAGTCCAGCGAGCGTACAGCAATGGAGTCTTGCGCGCTAATCACTGCGACTCGGGGAAAGCTGAGGAGAAGGTCAGTACTTCGGCCGTCGCTCTCAACATCCATGGAGGATACCGCATGCGACGAGTAGCTCTGGAGGCTCAGGCGTGAATACGAATATACCAAACCGGCAGGCTCTGCTGGAATCTTCCGAGCACGCATCAGGATGCCTAGACGACCAGAACAGGCTTCGAGCGCCGGCGCCGGCAGCACACAACACATCGGCAAACAGCCTCTGCGTGCATCCCCGCTTCGGAATTTTCAGCGCACTGGCGCCCGGATACTATGCGTACTGCAGAAAAGGGAGTCGGGCGCATTGCCAGACTGGGCCGCCTGCATGCTCGGCAGACCGCCTCTCAGAGCTTTCGGCCTCGAACAAGGTTCACCGCGTCTCTCAATCTCGAGCAGGAAGCGAGACATAGATATGCCCGCATCCTGTCGAAGGTCGACAGTTACTTGTGTGTCGATCTGAGCGGACTCGAAGTGAGCTACTGCGAATGGCTGTTCGTGGACGTCGAGTCTGAAGCCGACGGCGAGGCGGTTACCGCCATGAGGCGAGCACGTGAGTTTTGGTTGGAGTCTTTTCAACTTGCGGTATTCTGGCACTGAGCGACGATGACCACGCTTTCGTCGATGATACCGATGTCGTGCTGAGGATGTCGCCTCCAGAGCCCGCGAGAATGTACACGGGCGCTTTCCGGTCTCTACTGAGCGGGTTCGGGCTTACGGGCCGACTACGTGATCCGCCTCGTCTCAAGACTTGCACGCTTTCGGTGGTGGTCTTTTACTTGTCTTATTCTACCATTACGCGACGGCCTGCTGGCTCGAGGCCCAAGTCGTATTCTCGGCTGGAACCTGGCGTTCTGCATTCTCCTCACGTATCTACGTCGCCAACTCCGGCTCCGCGATCCTTACGCCGGGATATCGAATTCAAGAGACGGCTCGCCATGACGGGCTCGAGAGTATGTCTTGGTCCCTGTGAGAGATTGGAGATACTGACTGGGTTCATAAGACAGGTCCTCCTTCGGTGCATAAAGAGCTTCTTCAAACCAATGGCTCCTACCTCACGGCTGATATCCCTCGCCGCGACGCCAGCCATTGGCCAAGTGCTCGCCAGACTTCGAACGCGTGTCTTCCGGGAAGAGCAACGACCGCGCTTGCCCGGGCAAGTGGGCGTCTCGGAGGGTCCCTCGAGTCTGCCGCACTGTATCGAATGCTACGCCGGAACGACTCCTGCACCAAACCGCTGTAATCATCCTGAAAGCCAACATTCCTCTCCATTTGCCCATGGGGGACGCGTGTGCCGAGGAAACATGGAGTCTGAGGGGCGCGCAATACGCGTCATGGAGACAGGAGGAGAAGTGTGTAGGGCATGCTTCAGACCGGGAGGGAGAGAGCTGGGGAGGCGAGCGCGCCCGCGAATCAGAGGCATGCGAGGAGCGAAGGCGCGAAACCCCCACGTTGCACATGGGTTCAGGTGAGCATTGTGCGCCAAGTCACCCTCGTTCATGAAGCTGAGCTTCTGCTCCGCTTTTCGTTCACCAGATCTTCTATAGCACCCACGACGCCGCGACGTACGTTGACGTGCGTAAGATGGACACACTCGGCGTCGTTCAGTCGCGAGGAGAAGATCAACGTCGTACGCATTCCAAACGCCTCCTGGTCACCCAATCCGGCGCGGGACGAAGGAAGGTTCTTTCGCGCGGGGAACATTCGTCGTGACGGCAAACCCTTCGTTCGGCGGTACGGCGCCGTGGCATGCCTTAACGCGCGGAAGAAAGAGACACTCGATGTCGTGCCGTCGCAAGGAGAAGATTTGATGCCCATGCGGTGTGGGACGAAGGACGACTCTATTGCGCAGGGCGTATCTTCTGGGGCGATGAGCCTCGCCGTGTCTCTCGATTGCAACGTTTCACCCCCCTCTTTCTGCGGAAGCCGTGGAACGAGATCGTACAAGCGTGCCTGATGGCTAGGACGCCCTCATCGGGGCATAGCATCTCTGTGGGCGGTGGCGGCCGCGTGTGGGCTGTCGTTACTGCGCGTGCGGTTTCGTCGCACAGACATATCGGCGCCCATAATAGCAAATAAATGCTTGCTCGAGCGCTCCGCTCCCTGCGTCTGATTGGTGTGCCAGCGTCCTGGTCAAGGGACTCGGCTACGGCCGTTCTCTGGCTTCCATCTCTACTCCATGCGTGTCGAACATGGAATACATCGGGGGTCCAGCAAGTCCGCGGCGTCGTCCGCCAACGGAGTATTGCGCAGGGATGTTGACGGGCTGGTCGTCTTCGCGGTCCAGCGAGTATTGGCCGCGGACTCTGACTGACTTACCTGTGCTGCTGGTCGATTCGGTCGAGCTTCCGTACTACGCGTATGAGGATTGGCTGGGATGAATGTGCTATGAATATATGTGTATGTTAATTATGCGGAATAACAGACAGATTCCCCCCTGCGTCCCGAGGCTGTGTGCAGGCCTACCCCTACCCTCCGTTCTCGGCGGAAGCATACGGCATGCCGAGCGCCTACACGTCAAATGAATCAATCGAGATTCATGCGCGAGAGAAAGAATCGCGCGCTTACCGACAGCTGGGCTGCAGGACTGATTCAAAGTCCACCGCGGGTTTTGGTTCCAGCCCGCGTTCACATTTAGGTTGGCGCGAGTTCGTTTACGTGCCCAACGGTTGCTGTACACAGCATACCACACCGACCCTTAGGTCGCATCAGCCCCCGGCATACCCAAGATGGGCCATCGTACAGCAGCACACGCTGCCCCCTCTTAAGTCTTCTGGTGCAGTGCTTGCAGTTTCCTAGAACCGAGTTGTGTCTCGTACTTTGGTTTATCGCAATAGGCGCGCGGTCATACTGGGTCTCGGCACTGACGGCCTTCGACATCGTCGACGTCTTCTGTATTCGACCATGAAGATCCTGATGGCGTACGGCGCAACGCGAGGCTGGCGCTGTCAGGTGCGGCGAATTTCGTTTTCCTCCTTCCTTCCCCCATCTCCTCCTTCCCACCAAAAGGCGTTCGCGCCCTACGCCGACTCTACTCGGACGACACCGCCGGATCTCTACCAGATTCATCATACTCTTATCGAACATACACTTCCTGCTTGACTTCCTGGATAGCCGCCGTTTATTGAGCCGCACGTTCGCCCCTCGACGTTGAACGCGCCCCACATCTCGCACTCTCCAACCCTACCAAATAAACAACGCAAATAATGGCGTTCTCAACGTCAACTCACGACCAACGTTCATCACTCGAGCAGAAGATATCACTCGAGCAGAGGCTCTCTCAAGACCAGCACGCCTCTCTCGAGGACGAGACTGTTCCCGCAGATAAGATTCTCGGTACGTCGCTGTATTGATCAGGCTCGTGTACATGTCGCTCACTTCCGTCTCAGCCGTGCAAACCAGAGCTCAAGGGCTCCTTGATCATCGAGAAGACTTAATTACTCCAAAGCAAGCGCGCTCATCCCCTAAACATCTCAACGCCGCGGGCCCGAGCCGCCATTCTACGATCCCGAACCTCCCGCAAGGCAGTGACCCGACCGCTCACACATACCCGCCGCCCAGCGCCGATGATGCAGTCGTGAGTACTGCAGCGCTCAATAACTCTCAAATGACGGACCCTTCGAATGAACTTCAGAAGCCGTCGTTGTTGTTCAAGCTTATCTTTGCTATGTGCCCGACGCGCAAGCAAACCGAGTCGCTTGCATGAGGCTCGCCCGGCGCATGTCATCTCTGCCTTACGTATCCGACTCGAGAATCATTCCTTCCCTTGTCAAACTTGCTCTACATCATCTTGATTGTATCATACGGCTCACGACCGACCACACCTTGCTCTCCCATCTCATATCACATAGCACACCTCACCCAGCTCTGTTTTTTGCTATGCACATCTTGAACCGCACGCACGATATTCCGACTCGATACCTCTCCACTTGTATCTGCGTGTTTGCAATCGATCTCAGAACCTATAGCTGCAAATGTCTTCCCTAACCGCGCGCGTGCTGCGCGACCGCGAATCGTGTCGTCGAGCGCGCAAGTCGCGTGACCGTGCAAGGAAAGGAAAGGACAAGGCGGCTCCGCCTTTCGTGCTCACTTCTCCCACTAGCCGCCTGAACTTAGACTACTCGAGATAGGAACGCCTCGGGAAGCACCGCGCACTTAAGGCCTTATGGAGGTATGTACATCATCCGCTCACTTATGTACGTGTGCCCATGACGAACGTCCTGTAGGTTGGCCTGGAATAGCCGCGACACCACGACAGAGTAGCTGGTCTCCTACTAGCCGAAGCGCGACGGAGAATCCGGCCTACTAAGTCATCCCAGTCCATTTCATCGAGTCCTGCGTACGCTCTCAAGCTCTCCAGCATCACAACGTATGGCCTGGCGCCTACCAACAACGCAAACAGTTCTTAGTAAGTCCAACCTCGATCAGTGCGACACGCGTGTTTATCGAGAGATTAGTGTCGGATTTTTCTAAGCTGTCACGAAAAAGGCAAAGCTGACCTCAGAGGTCAGCACCCATACTTTTTTTTGCGTATTTACTTGTCTAATATGTGATCATCTTCGAACAGCACTTCCAGTCGGCCTGCGCCGCATCAAGCACCTGAGCTCGGTAGCCGTCAAGAAAACATGCCAATCTCCTGGGGCATTATCTCTCTGACTCGAGCGTGCTGCAGCCGCATACCGCCGCTTCATCATACCCTTCGGGCGGCCATGAAGAACTACGTCGCGCCCAGTCTGGCGTGCTTCCATCCCCCAGACGCCGCAAGGAGACACGTTGCGCCCCAAGCGTACTCCCCGTCCAGGAGGAACGAACGGCCTTTCACCTCGCACCACCGCTCAATCACATGCGCGCATGGTTCACGTACTGCGCCAGTTTCATCGGCAAGCTACCCTCCGAGGTCACAGCGGGTAGCGCTCTCACATCGCGCCGCTCCAGTACCCACTTGTCGCTTCACACGGGGCATCTGTGCCTCTCAGGTGGCTTCCCCGCCGCGGTCTATGTACGGGACGCACTGGCGGCGCGCATGGCGGTTCACAAGTTGCTGCGACTGAATGGCGAAGCACTCTTGCGCCCTGGACACGGGAGGGAGGGGGAGGAGGAGGAGGGGGCCAGGACGATTGACAATACGGCGAGAGCGACGACGTGCGACTGCACAGACTGCCTTCGCCGAATACAGGGGGTGGGGACGCAAGAGAATGGCTTGAGTCTCCATCTTAAGTCGGCTGCACACACCCACGCACGGGTCACCTCTCCTGTCGACCGCTCAAGTACGCTGCAGC